GACCGGACGCGCGCGGTGTGTCGGTGGTGCCGCTTCCGCAGCTTGGCGTGCGTCCCGAACGGCCGCGCGAAGGACGCGTGTGGCAGTCGGACGACAGCGATGCCGACGATGTGGTCAAGGTGGACACAGCCGAGGGCGAGGAAGAGGAGGAGGAGGAAGAAGAAGAGGGCTCGGATCTGGATGCCGAGGAGCTGCTCGAGGAAGAGCGCAAGACGGCCATGCAGAAGAAGCGTGCGACGACGCGCGCGGCCGGCCAGGAGGTGGTGCACGCACGCATGGGCAAGAAAGCGTCTTCGCGCGCGCTGTCGGATCTGACGGCGTCGTACGACGACATGGCGCTGTCGACGTCGTCGCGTCAGCGCAGGAGCCGACCGGCGCGACGCAGCAGCCTGGACCCGCGGCTGACGACCAACGCGTCGCGCTCTCCGGCTGCACCCCGCAAAGCGCCGCCGAAGCTGGTGCGCACGCATCGATCGAGCTCGTCGATGCGCTCTGCGGGCGACGACGAAGCGGACGAGGAGGAGGACAACCTGTGGCCCGCAGCGTCGGCGACGAGCAAGTCGGGCACGCCGCGTCCGCGCCACATCCTCGTCAACCTGCCCGGTGGGCCGGGCATCTGGGACAGCAAGACGGGCGGCGGACGCAATGCTGTCGCGGCGATCAACACGGTTGCTGCGGCGCGTGCCAAGGCGATCAAGAAGCGCGCCAAGGACCCGCGCACGTCGTTTGAGCTGCCGCCCAACTGGGACGACGAGATGATGGACTATGGCTGGCCACGCAGTCTCAAGGGCTCGCTGTACTGATTCACTGATTCACCGGGGGGGCGGTCCTGGCTTTTGTTCTCCCTAATATTGACATGGGCACTTCATCCGATGTATGCTCATCGCTCATGGCAGAGCGTTTGTGCCGTGGGTGCTGTGTGGGCTGTGTGTGCCGTGTGAAAGCGCCAAAAAGTGGGAACGAGGGGGCATAGAAGGCGTGAGGAAAGCATTTCGAGTGGGGAGTGGGGCTCACGATGAAAATGCGGAGATCTCGCAGAACAATAATGAAGCGGAAATTGAAAGGCTCGTAAAAAGAGCGCATAAATTCGAGACTTTTGCCGGCATTCGCAGGGCGTGGAGTCGAAGCTCGTTTTGGGCTTCCTCACGCATCCATAGCACCTGGCAACCATCCTTCTTACCTGCATCTGCATCCAACGACGACGCCGCCAACTACGACGCGCACGACTACAAACGACATGATTCACTGACCAATCCGCGCATTCTTGCGGCGCTTCTAAGATCCCCACCGCTCGACAAACCAAGGATCGGGACTGCGCAGGGCATACACCACTGCCTGCATCCGGCGGACCGTGGGGGCTAAAGGATGTTGCAGCACAAGTTATCGCTGGCGACAACGCGGTCGTCCAACTCGTCTTCGTCATACAATGCTGCGATGCCAGCAAAGAAGGAGCG